TTCGTAGAATTTATTATTGTCCGAATTTACTTTCGTTTATTGTAACTATTTTATAACTTACTCTAAATTGATTTCTATTTATTTTTTTTAAACAGGACCTGCATTGATAGCAGTTTTCTTTCCTAAACTAAAGCAGCAATCCTGTATAAATATGTTTAAATTATTATTTTTATTATTATTATTATTCTTATTATTATTATTATTATTAGTATTATTGTTATAGTACCCAATGAGTAGCTGAAGAGGTATTATCAGATGATCAAGTGACGTCACTCCTTTCTACAGAATTGACAGGAAACAAATGATAACTGCCTAGCACTATTCTTTGCAAGCGCGTTGATCGTTCTTTAAGGGTGTTTCATGTATGAAAACAATAGAGGTTTCTTCCACATGGGATTTTAAACCTGTGAGTTCAACGATTTTTTTTCCATGACAACGCATAAATCTACATAGGTACAAGCGTAAAATTCTGAAATATATTTGTGCCGCGCAAAATTCTCGCCAAATGGATGAAGAAAATGATAACAGCTTCACAGCAAATAGTTTAGTTAGATACCATCGCTACAAAGGTAACATATCTTCATTAATATTTTGGATCTGTCATGTTCCTTCCGCCATCTTGAATATTTAGAAACGATTACTCTAACACGAAATGAGGCGAAATTATTACAAAACATAAAGCACCGTACTTTTCCAAACCACAAAGCAAATACCTTCGCCTGAACGCTTTGCCGGGCGCCCAAATATATCATGTAGATAGATGGTCGTTGAAGAACCCAACAAGGACGCGTTGTGGACGTTTACACAACAAAACATAACGAACACTATCATGTGTTTTGCGGCCTGACTAAGCGTTTTGGCAAAGGTGTTCGTTTTGTAGTTTGAGACTACTTTTCTACAAAACCAGGACCTCATCCACAAATATACGTTATCAACCAAGCGGAAAGTTAAGATGGCTGGATATTGGCCGAATTCTTTGTTGCGTTTTGGAAGACCTAAACAAAGTCGGGGTACATAAACACGAAAAATGGACGAGGGAAATATCCAGCCATCTTGACCGCACAAGTAGGCTGATAAAGGATTTCTTAAATAGCACAAACATTTTGCCTAATAAGAATAAAAATGATTTGTTCATTTTGAGAGCCCGGTGGGAAAAAAAGCCAACTGTTGCAGCACCGTATAGAGAA